CTGCCGGCCGAGTCTTCTGCGACCATTTACTACACGCACGTTGCTCTATAGGCAGTAGTACATGTGATAACAGTGTAAAGAAGTTAAGAGAGGAGAGAAGGTGAGAGCCAAGATGGCAGTGCGCCTTGAGCAGTGTACAGTCTGTGGATTGAAGAAGTCCCCACTTTCCTGCGCTTGGAGACACATTCACCTGCCTGGTAGATAGTTGTCTGACAAACATAAATAGCGCCACGAGGGGAAATTGGACGGATCAGGCTATCAATTTTATAGACATGTTAAAATTACATAGTAGTACAACTCATAATTGGCAAAACCCAGTTTTAGTAAATCAGGCCGAACCACAAAGCAAACTCATGTACTCAACTCAAAGCAATGCCCTCTTCAGCAAAAGCACCTGTTTGTAGTAATGTTGAACTTACAACCAGGCTTGTACAATTAGTTGGTGATAACTGCTCGATCCGTTGCCATGCCTAAGTATATTGTACTGTATGTAGTATTTGTGATTATAAAAAGTAAATAAAAAGGTTAGTTTTTTTCATGTAGAAATACAGCTGCTAGGTAATTTAGTTAATTTATTTTCGATGTAGATATACTACAACTGCTAGTATTACTTGCATTTGTCATAATAAGAAGCAAAAAGGTAACCTTATCCAACTTATTACTCCCTCTGTTCCATAATGTGGTGGACATAGATTTTACCAAAAGTTAAACTTTACAAACCTTGACCATATTTATAGAGAAAAATAGGTACATCTAGAATACCAAATACATATCGTTGGATACATCATGAATTATATTTTTCATAATGTACATGATTGGTATTATAGGTATAGATAGTTTTGTCCATAAACTTGGTTGAAGTTTGCTAAGTTTGACTCTGGAAAAAATCTATATGCACTACATTGTGGACTGGGGGAGTACTATTCAATTTGTTTTTGACTATTTTTCCAGGGTATCATTTGTTTTTTTTCTGATTTCGTTGCTAAATTTCTCAACAGCTTATTATGAAATAAACTGAACATATATATCACACTCCATCAGATTATGCAACAGTGAGCTGTGAGCATACGCGAGTGCCATGACGTCAGACAATGTGACGTAGGCCTTTGATGTCGATGCGGAGACTCTTCACTACGCGGTACGGGTGCGCTACGGTGTACATCCATAATACACTGCATGCAGTGCACGCACCATGCTGCAGTACAGCAGCGCGACTTGCCTTCCGAGTCCTTCGGGCTGCCTTCTCCATTTAGGCCAAGTCCACCGCGAGACCCCAAATAGACGTCTGTTTTGTCCGGATTCTGTCCGTTTGGATAGCGATTTAGGATCGTGTCCGGTCGTGTCCTGGGATGCGGTGGCCGTGCGCCCAGCGCGCGGCCGCATCCATTTGCCCTATCCTGTCCGCGTCTATTTAACAAACCAGAAGTAACGTTTCAAATGTCAAGCCCTAGTTCACGCCAGCGGCCCCGGTTCATCAGCAGAGAAACGGGTGCTCGTGCCTGCTTTGTTTGCATCTCAACGGACGGCCGCCCGCCGCTGCTGGAGCCAGGCGTGATGTTGAGGTCGGTGACGGTCGCGGGGCGCGGTGTGGACGGCGCGAACAAGCCCACGTCCGGCGACGCCGAGAAACGGGTCTGGCCGTCGTGCCTTGGCGGAGGAAAGTCGGGCAACATGGGCGCGGCGCGCGACGTCGGCGACTGGCAGTGCGTAGGCCGGGCGACCGACGAGCCTGTGCTCGCCGGGCCGACGGGTGCTGCAGGGAACTCGGCCGGACGACCCATGCCGCCAAGCATGAGGATGGTGTGCGCTTTGTTGACGAGGTTCTCCTTCTCGTCGGCAGCGGCCTTGCGCCGCGCGGCCTCCAGCTCCTCGCATTGGGCGACGAACTTGGCCGCGGCAGTATTGACCTTGACGGCCGCTCTCCGTTCCCTCCTCTTCGCCGATTTCGCGTCCAACTTGACGATCTTCTCCGGCGTGCACTCCGACCGCGGCTTCCTCGGAGCCTTCTTCTTCACCTTTGTGGGCGGATCGACGGCCAGGCCGCCGAAACTCGGCGGGGCGTCGGCCATGGCCGGGGGAGAGAGGGGCGGCGGGAGGGACGTGGAAGGGTTTG